AGGGACCACCTTGCCCCACATGTTCCCCCAAGAGCACTACGGTTGGGGGCCCAAAATTTGTAGGTCATCCTGGGTCCCAAGGACGCCAAACTAGCTGCGACCAGGGCCAGGGCTTTTTCGGTGGTGGCTCCTACCTGGTGGAACGAGCTCCCGGGGGAGATCCAGGCCCTGCGGGACTTTGTGCAGAACACAAATGCATCATCTAGGGCTTCACCTAACGCACCTAATGCATCATCTAGGGCTTCACCTAACACCTTGCACCGTGGAAAGGCTGCTGTTGCTAGCTTAGATTTGGATTAGAGGTCCACTGCTTGAGCCAAAAACTCCATCTGACCATCACACCGAACTGTGAAAAGAAACTCCTAGCAGAACACAAACGGCTTTGCTGCTAGAGCATGCAGACACCATAAGGCAGTGCCGAAGCAATAAGTATAGCGAGGCTAACAAGCATGGGGGGGAGGGGGATAGTTCTAGGGTTCCCAAGTACCTACCAGAGATCCAGCAGGGGACACATGCTTCCCCGCCGGAAGATTCTTGCTTGGAACACAGGCACTGCACTATTCCGGCGCCCAGACATGACGTAGGCACATAGCTGGGCGACGCTCTGGTAATGGGACTGGAAACTCGATGGTACCATCGAGTTTCCAGCCCTATTGCTACAGCGTGGCCCGGCTACGTGCCTACGACACGTCTGGGCGACGGAATAGTGCAGCGCCCGTGTTTTCCCCGTGGGAATGGTCCCGCGAAGAACTATACATCCCCCGCCGAATTAAGGTAAGTACTTGGGAGCCCTGGATAGTTCTCAAGCCCACCTGATCTCCAAACACCCCACCAACCTCCCTTCCAAACTGGTTCAGCATTTCAGCAGGAGCTGCTTGGAATCCACTGACTCCATGAGGGGAGGTTATTCGGACAGCTTCCAACAGATGAGCATAACAAAGGAACCATGATTGGTAGCCTCCAACCCTGGCTAAGGTAAGAAAGGATAGGTAGGGATATTGGAGCTAACTGCCTTGAGGGAGGGGGGAAAGGGGGTCATGGAGGGAAAGGGGTGGGAGGAAACTGGCATTCTGGGAGACCTGAATGAGTGGAATATGTCTAGCCTAAAGGGGGGGGGTCTCACTCTCCCCTGATCCAGGGGGGGAAAACCCACTCCAAGGACCTTACAAGGTCAAGAAATGAAGACCTGCTTTAACCTGCCTCGCTTAATTCATCAAAAGAAGGAAACTCTTAGCTACCTAGGCCTGAAGAAATTTTCCAAACCATAAGCCTAGAGCTGGGGTCCCCATCTTTTTTGAGCCTGTGGACATATATTTGGAATGGTGGGCGCAGCTACAAAATGGCTGCCACTAAATGGCTGCTGCAAAAGGTGGAATCAGCCACAAAATGGCTGCTGCAGCATACCTTCAGTCACACATTGAGGATCCGTGCGGTGTGGTGGCAGGTGCTGTTAAAGCAACATTTTAAAAAAATCTGCACAGCCAATCAAATCTCCAGTGTCCAATCAGAAGCCTTGCTGGGCAAAAGCCCCACCTGGCCCCACCTACTTCCTAAAAACAGTTGTCAGGTGCTAGGAAAGGAATCTGAGGGCACCATGATGCCCACAAGCATAACGTTGGGAACCACTCGCCTGCAGTATGAGGGGAAGGCTGCCTCCTCTGGTCAGTAAGCAGAGCTGACATCTAGGAGGACCTTCCCCACTGACAGGAAATGAGTCAGTTTGGTTCCGCTTCCTGAGGCGGAAGAATTATCTCTTTCCTGCCTGCTGCCGTGGAACTAAACAAGGACAGGTCTACAGTATCTTCTGAAAAGATGTAGGCACAGCCTCACACTGCAAGTAAAGCCTCTCCTTTCAAGAGAAGTTAAAATACCAAAGAGTAACCAGCCCTTCTGAGTTCCCTGGTTACAATCATGGCAACCAGATAAACTTGGTAACCACCTTTGTGATTCATTGTGCTGTTTATATTATACATTTCTTCACTGTAACCCAACAAACTCCCCTTCATCTATGGCCTTTTAATCTTGAGGCTACCCTGCTGACTTGTAATAGTAATCTTCAGGAATAAGTAAGCTGGGGCTGGAATTAATTTCTTTTTACGAGCAGCTGATATCAATGCAAAATTATTTCTAAAATCTGGGAAATCTCAAGATTCACGCTAAAAGACAAGATGACAGGAGAGAAGAAAAGTCAACCGAAAGGGCACTAAAAAGCAAAAAGAATGCCAAAAGCCCATCTACACTTTGTGTAAAGCTGATCTCCGTAGGTGTGAGATTGATGACTAAATCATGAATACGCTCATTTCTAACAGCCACCTTTGCATTTAACATTAGTTTATTTGCAACAGATTGCAAACCACTTTACACAAACCATTCTGATTGTTAACAAGTCATTTCTGTCACTTGCTTGATTCATGACAACATTACGCAAATGTGATCTTTGTTCTTTTACCAAGGAACCCTGTTTTATTTAAACCAGGAAACAAAACGCTTTAGGGGAAAGTCCAGTTTTCCTCTTATTCTTGGTGACAAGCACTATTTCTGCTCAAGTGACTCTCAGAATTCCCTCCTCTCCTTCCAGAGATGTTGGAGAGGTGCCGTTTGTAAGGAGCCGGCTTTGCAAGAATATCCCTGCACAGGCAAAGCTGTTTTATCTTATGACAATGATGGTTTATTTTTAAAAGGCTTTAAAATGAAACTCATTCGTGTGAACTACATATTTATGTCTCATCTCAATTGTTAGTCTTGTGCGAGCTGGCTCGCTGCCAGTACCTTCACATTGCATTTCTATTTATTTCCTCTATTAGTAAAACATATCCAGACTGAAAGCTGCACTCAAAGTTTAGAAGGATTTGCCAAGATGCGTTGGCTTCAATGGCTACGTACTTTGCCTGATGAGTGCTTGTACATGTTGGGCACCACATACTGAGGTCCATCAAAAAGTTCAGCACAACCTGCCAACTACAAGGTGTGGACCGTGTACGAGCCTGTTTTAAACAATGGCTGTCATCAGCAAGAGAGGCCCAATGCACACACACATCCACAGGTCATTCAACCCTATGATATGTTCTTTTTTTCTTGATATTTTGCATGCGTGCATGTGTGCCTGGAAGTCATGGCGACCTCTGGCGACTCCTACTGGGGCATCGAGGACATTCATAGGAGTGGCTTGATAGCCTGCCTCTGCCTTCCAGTCCTGGCATTCTCTGGAGGTCTCCCATCCAAATACTTGCCAGGGCTGGCCCTGCTTAGCTTCCGAGATCTTACAAGATCGGGCTTGCCTGGCCTATCCAGGTCAGGGCAACCCTATGATATTTTCTGAACACAATACTGTTATTAGTCATCCCTGTCTCTCTCCTCCTTTAAATTCCCATGGCTGAGGATTCACCCTTGGCTCTCCCAGAGTTGGGGAACAAACAGATTTAAATGTTTTTGTCACATTCTCTCATTAAATTTGTGTCTGCCAGGGAACCGACAGAGCTCCTCAATAATCTCCAACACTTGAAGTTCTTGGGGAACCACAAGGGGCCGTTCCCTTGTAAACAACTGCCCACGTATTCTGACATAAACTAAAAATGTGAAAAGAGTAAAATGACATAGGCATTTACATACACTCCCAGTGCAAAAAGCAAACTCAAACTTTCAGAAAAAGAATATGATACATGCTCCCTCTAAGCTGTGAAGTCTTGTGGGGAAAAATCCTTCTTTGTGAGCTACTGGCATTAAAGTTGTGAGGGAGCGATTTGGCTACTGCATAAATTAGTTTGCTCTGGAGCCATCCTTCCTGAGCTAAGACAAAAATGTATGAACTGGAGGCTAAAAATCTGTGAGCTAGCTCACACTAACTCCACTTAGAGGGAACACTGGCCATCAGGGAATATAAGACTTCTGAATAAATATTTAAATCCTCTTCTGGTTCAGCATCTTCTGCACTTGGAAAGCTAGCATGCCATGATTAAGCTCAAAACTTCGTCTGCTCTTTTTCCATATACAGAGCTGGGTTTTTTACATGAGCCCTAGAACTTTCCTTTCAGGGGTCAAGCCACCAGAAGAGACAAAGAATGAAAGCAGAAGGAGCCAACTGTGGTAGTGATATAGCTTATGTCAGCATATTGAGAAAGCCCCAACTAAAAGATACTGAGAAGTTCCTCAAAGACAAAGTCTTGCATGGAATATTCATCTATTTATTTATTTGCTCCCCTTATACCCCTCAGTTCTCCCCAATGGGGATCAAAAGGAACTTACATCATTCTAAGTGTGTGACTGGCCCAAGGTCACCCAGCAAGCTTCCACAGCAGAGTGGGGACTTGAACCAAGGTCTCCAAAATCCTAATCTGACATTCTAACCACTATACCACAATGGCTCTCTGAGCAAGAGTGTCATTTTCCAGAGCTGTATAGTGCTGTCTTTCTTAAAATGAAGATGGGTCGCCGTATTAGTCTGTAGCAGTACAAAAGAGCAAGAGTCCAGTAGCACCTTAAAAGACTAACAAAATATGTGGCAAGGAAGGAGCTTTTGTGAGTCACTGCTGAAGACGTGAGCGGTGGCTCATGAACGCTCATACCCTGCCACATATTTTGTTAGTCTCTTAAGGTCCTACTGGGCTCTTGCCCTTTTCTTAAAACGTTTATTTCATGCATTAATTAGACAATATCAAGGTATGATAAATATCAAAACTAAGACAGGTTTATCTTATTGAATATTGCTCCATACATCGCAATATTGATTTCCGCACACTGAGACAATTTAGATTTTTCTCTTTTTTTAGCAAAGATACAACTTAATTGTAGTAAATCAATCTTTAAAATGCCGCAGACACTCCTTAATTGGAACAGAAGATAATGCCCTCGATATCTCCAAGGTAGCTGGTTTTAACATCCCAAAGCTGTGAGAAGGATATTATGTCATGGAATGTTAAAAAAGAGTATATTGGTCTATAGCACTACAAAATGTACAAAAATAATAACTGGGAAGGAAAATCTATACATATATATATACATACATATATCGGGCGATTCATCTGAGCCATCTGGACAGTCCTTCTCTCCATCACATCTCCAGCCCTTGGATATGCATGTGATTTGATCTTTGCACGCGAACTGTTTCGGGCTACATGTCTTCGGTGCTAGATGGGGAAAGGGGAAAAAAACAACAACCCAAGATTAATTTCTTCCACAAGACATGCCATTAAATGTAATTTTAAAGCCAGCTACTTAACAAGCGAACTATCTCTGACTATGGCACCAGGCTCATTCATATTCACTACAATTCAAGAAAGTGTAGGATTAAAACCCAATGTATTAATTATAGCAATGCAGTCAATATCCAGAATGCAAAACAGATTTTAAAGACCATTTAACTCAAATAATTTATTCCTTAAAAGCCCATGGCAATTTTTTTCCCATTTATATGCAAACAAGCAAGCTAAAAAAAAAAAAACCCAAATAAGAACAAAGTGGGAATGTTTTAAACCGTGAAGATATAGCCCGCCTGCCTCAGGAAAGGAATCACGCATTTCAACAGATTAATTGGTAAACTGGGAACAGACCAATGAGAGCTTCAACTCCGACCCTCTTACAATGGTGGCCACTGTATTTCCTCCTGGGAATTAAATCAAGCCTATTTTTAAACGTTTGTTCTAGATGTCTGATTGAACACCCATTTGACACGGGCAGCATCCCAAGTGCTATAGGTGGGAGGAAATTCATCCCACCTTTAAGTCCCACATTAAAACCACTGCTAGTATGCCTGCTGAAAGGGGAACGTAAGCAGGATCGGGAGCCCAACTCTGTTTAACTACTGATATTTTCCAAGTGGTAGCTAGATTTTGTTTTCCGAGGGACACTGCATGTTTCAGAACAGCCTGTATTAAAGTGGTCATGGTTGCCAGCTCCAGGTTGGGAAATACCTGAAAGTTTGGGGGTGGAGACTGAGGAGGGTGGGGTTTGGGGAGGGGAGAGATCCCAGAGGGTATAATGCCACAGAGTCCACCTTCCAAAGCAGCCATTTTCTCCAGGGGAACTCAACTCTGTCCATTGAAATGTGTGTCATGTTAAGGTAAATCCCAGTACAAAATGACAGCAGAGCAGGCATTACATGTGTAGTTAAAAAAAAAAAAATCACGGAGAGGAAAACTCTCAAAAACCTTCAAATAATAATCCATCTAGAGGAAGACTGGACCCTCATGCCTTTTTTCTCCCAGTCTGATAACCAGAAATTACCTCCAGGTCCATTTTCATTTGATTCAACTATATATTAATGGGAGGACAAGTTAATGTTTGCTAAACATATCAGGCAGTTACCAAATCAGTCCTTACAGTGCAATCCTGTGTAGACTTACTCCAGACCAATCCCACTCAAAACAACAAACTAGCAGTGTAATCCTAAATAATGTTACACCCCTTCTAACCATGTTGACTTCAATGGACTTAGAAGGGTGTCACTCTGCTTAGAGTTGCACTGTTGGTGTCTCTAACGCATTCCAAGAGTACCAAGAAAGGAGAGACTAGATAATTTCAAAAGACGGAAAATGATTATAAGGAACTGCTTTCCCATGTAATGGACAATTGATCAAGCTCCTACCAGATTCAAACACACACCAATCATATCTATGGGTAGGATAAATAATCTAAACTATCAATGCTTCCAAATTCAGTGAGGACAAAGTTCAACCAAGTAGGCTCCCAGACTAATCGCTCACAACCCAACCTAGGACCAGATACACTGAGCAACATGGCTGCCCCCATGCCAATAGGCAAGTATATGAAGACTTCCGACTATAACAGTCCTCTAAAAGGGGATATTTCCATATCAAAGCAAACAATATGGTTCCCAAAGACTTGGCCGATCACTTGTAGATATGATAAAAGTTACTGTTAACCACATAGGAAGAAGGATTTACAGAGATGCTTACACAGGATCACAGATGTAACAGCAACCATACTGCTCAGGGAATTTGTAAAGAAGGTCTGAAGTATTCTTCACACTATATATCATTAACCTATGGAATTCAATATCAGAAGCTCCCAACTAGCAGATGTTTTTTTAAAAATAAAGGAATAAGCAAATTAATGGAGAATAAATCTATTAATTGCTATCAATAGCCATTATCAATGGCTCTGTCTTTAAAAGTAATATATTTCTGATGTAGTAGACAATGGGGACAAGAGGAGTTTCCAGAGGTCTATGGCAAGACAGTTTTGGAGATATGCCATGAAGCTTGGCTTGATCCTAATGATAACTCTTGTATTCACAGGGCAAACAGCAGATCCACAAAAGACCTTTGAAATACAGCTCCATCCTGGTTTATTAAACAGTCAAATCTAGAGTATTTTAGATATTTCACTGACCGTCCAAATTTTATATGATGCAATTACATAAGTGCTCGCTAATCCAAGTCTGCCTATTTTGGAACACCACTGGTTACTGTTATTATTAAGTCCTTCCCTCATTCTTAATTAACTGCTTTATTCACGTTCTTTCTTTATAATGTGTTATCACTGTTATTGTTGTTACTGTTATCTATAAACATTGCTAAAATTAGTGTTAAGTGATTTCTTAAAAAATAAAGCAAAAGTGTTAAGTTTTCTAGGACAATGGTAACAGCGCTCGGCAAGCGAGGCATTAATTAATTCACACCACGTCTCCGGCAGCTAGGGTCTATTCTTCAAAGAGGACATTCTACATGATGCAGCTGCTATCTGCTAATTGCTGCCCATCTTCAATGCCTTGGAGCTTTGTCCAATCGGCACACGTGCAAAATGAATAGCGACGAGAGCCAAGAAGTCAATGCCATTAGTACTGAACTGAGGAACTGTGCTACAAAAGAGCAATAAAACTGGAAATCTGAAAGGGCGCAAATGGATTCGGGATGGGACGGGGAGGGTTTTTGCTCGGCAGGGATTACGTTCCTGTGAAGTCTGATCCAGAAAACTGAACCACAAGAAGTAAGTTAGCAGGTAATTTGCCTACAACGCTGCCATCAAATCACCATTTCTGACGCCCTCCCCTACCAAGCCTAGGGGATAGGGACCCAGCCACCTGGATTAAAGTAATGTACGGCTTCATTCTAAATACATTAGACTTAGAGGCAAGTCCCAATTAAAGACAGTGCGATTTACTTTCCAATTACAAGGACTTAGAATTGAGGGGGGTGGAGGAAGAGTCCCATGGCTTTCAAACGCTTCGGCTTAATCAAGCTGCCGATTGGACAGTAAACCTGACAACCGAGTGAATGCCAGCACTGAGAAATCCCTCCGCAAACAACTCATAAGTGGATAACCCAAGGAGTCTGGAGAGAAGATCTGAAATGGTGCCTACTGAGGACGCAGCAGCTGCAGATCAGCTCAAGAGAGTTATAAAGGCAGGCAAAGCTCTAGCTTATCTGTTAATATAATTGGATATTCTTGTTAAACCATCCCTGCAGCTGACCCCTGGGACCTGACACGCAGACACAAAAGGCATTCCTCTCCCCTGTGGCCTGCCTTCTCCCTTCAAGAAGCCTTCTGGTCCTCCCCCACCCCCCACTTTAATCTCACCCCTGTCAAAGTGCTTTGGAGAAACTCATGCCTTTTGCTGGATGTACAGAGCCTGTCACAGGGACTATATCCTCCAAGGCCTCAAAACTGACGAAGCATGGCCTCCCGCTGAACAGCACCATGGGGGACCGGCCTCCTGCAGCATCACCTGTCTCTCTGCTTCATCTTTTGAAAAGCAACAGCTTCCTTCGCCACAGTCAGGCTGGCTCCCCCGAACACCACCTGCCTTTTATTGGTGGTGGAAAGTGCCATCGAGTCACAGCCGACTTATGGTGACGATCACTCGTCGGGTTTTCGAGGCAAGAGACAACCAGATATGGTTTGCCATTGCCTGCTTCGGCATAGTAACCCTGACCTTCCTTGGTGGTCTCTCATCCATGTACAAACCAAGGAAGATGCTCCTTGGCTTCTGAGATCTGACAAGACTGGGCTCGCCTGGGCCACCCCGGACAGGTCCCACCTTTTATTAGTAAAGGCAAAGGTTTTCCTTGCTCGAAAGCCAGTCGAATCCGACTCTAGGGGGCGGTGCTCATCTCCATTTCCCAGCCAGCACTGTCTGAAGACGTTTCCATGGTCATGTGGCCGGCACGGTCATGTGGCTGAGGCACATGGAACACTGTTATCTTCCCACCAAAGCGGTACCTATTCATCTTGCTTTCGAACTGCTAGGTTGGCAGGAACTGGGGCCAGAGACGGGAGCTCACTCAATCCCGCAGCACTGCCGAACTACCGCCCTTCCGGTCTGCAGCTCAGCGTCTTAACCTCTGAGCCACCACAGCCACCACCTTTTATTAGGCACAACCAAATGGTGCACAATAGTGTATGAGCTTTTGCTCACTAAAGCTCTTTATCGGGCTAGATGTTACCCCTGAATTATTTTACCATGGTTTAAAAGAGAGTTCTGGAGAACTTGAAATTTCGCATACCGCTATGCAGAATTTCACTGGTCCTCATAAAAGATAGTATGTGGATTGTGGTCTGGTTTTCTGGATTTTACTTTGAGACAGACATGGGAGTGAACGAATTCTGGGTCCTCAGAAGTTGGATTTGCTCTGCACATACTAAAATCACAGCCCTGGCAGGAGACCTCAGACTGGAGCTCAAAGTCTAAGTGCCCAGAAGGTGAATGAACTTCCATTTCAAAATGCCAGTTCTGGGAATCAGAGTTCAATATCTGCTCCCCCAGAGTCCCTAATCAGCAAAATCATGAAAATAGTCTCTCTCTCTCTCTCTCTCTCTCTCTCTCTCTCTCTCTCTCTCTCTCTCTCTCTCTCTCTCTCTCTCCCTCTCCCTCTCTCCCTCTCTCCCTCTCTCTCCCCTCTCCCCCCCCCTCAAAATAACAGCCCAAAAAGCCCAACTTAGCCCAGGCTAGTCAGAGTTTGGGAGCTAAGCAGGGTCGGCCGCAGCCGGTGCTTAGTTGGAAGACCACCAAGGAAGGCCAGAATTGCTATGCAGAGGGTGTCAGTGGCAAACCACCTCTGTTTGTCTCTTGTTGCCCGGAATGCCCTGTGAATGGGGTCACCATGCATCAAATGCAACATGACCACATATTCTTCTTCTTTTGTCAAAATCTGGTCTCGAGATCAAG